ATGAGGAAAAACAAAAATGAAAAAAAAGAAGAAGTGAATAAATTGAGAAACTGGAAATGAAGAAAGACAAAAAGGAAATAAGAGAGAGAAGAGAACAAAACAAACAAAAAGAAAAAAACCAAAAAGAAAAAAGAAATGCCCCCAGGGATGTCCCTGTGCGTCTGCACAGAGTAATGGAGTAGCTTCTAAGCTGTGCGGTACTTCCCAGCTAGAAGGGGCTCCCAAGCCGAGAAAAGAAAAAGAAACAAATCAAAACAGAACAAATCAGAGCAAAGAAACAAACAAACAAAAAAGCCCCGGGGGTCCTACCAGCGTGGTGGCCCGGGCCAGGAAGCAGTTCCGTAGTCGGTGTTTCGCAGCCTTTCAGGAAGAAGCAAAGATGGCACACGGAGCCAGGTATTTGAGAGAAAGGAGGGGGAGGTGGTGAGAGGTGAGGAAGAAATCTAAAGAAGCAGCAAATAAAGCAACACCAGCAGCCAACAAAAGGCACTCAGGGAGCCGGCCAGTGTGGGTGGGTGGCATCCAAGCGACACTGGGGTGCTTCCCGCCCATGAGACTGTGGCTACAGGAAGCAGAGGAGGCTAAGTGGGGTGAAGAGGGTGGGGGGTGGGAAACCCTATATCGCTGGTTACTGGTTGTTCTGTCTCCTGCTGGAAGCTCCGTGAAGCTGCTTTCTCATACCCTCTGTTTGCTGATCTCCCATAGGAGTCCAAGATGGCAGATCCGTGCTGCAGTAACTGATAGGGTACCTCTGCATGTATTGCTCCTCGCTCTCTATTCTGGATCAGTTTCTTATTCCATTCGGTGCTTGGCTGAGTTCTTTATCTCTTAATTTGATACTTAGGGTTTAGAGATTGATGTGTGACTCTGTTTGACTTAGTTTTTCTGGTCTTTGCTGTGGAGGGATGGTGTGGTGCTTCTGACTATAGCGCCATGTTGCCCGGAATCTCTATTTCTAACTTTTTAAGGAAGTGCCATACCGTTTTCCACAGTGGTTGTACCATTTTACAGTCCCACCAACAGTGTATGAGAGTTCCAATCTCCTCATACCCTCACCAGCATTTGTTGTTTTCTGTTTTTTTGATCATTGCCATTTTTGTTGGGGTGAGATGGTATCTCGTTGTTGCTTTTAGTTGCATCTAATGGCTAATGGTCACGAGCATCTCTTCATGTATTTGTTGGCCGCTTGAATGTCTTTGGTGAAGTGTCTGTTCATGCCCTTTGCCCACTTTTTAACTGGATTGTTTGTCTTTTTGTTGTTGAGGTGTTGAAGTTTTCTATAAATTTTAGAAATTAGTCCCTTCTCGGATATGTCATTGTCAGAATTTTTTTCCCAGTCTGTAGGTCCTCTTTTTACTATTTTGGAAAAGTCTTTTGATGCACATATGTGTCTAATTTTTAGGAGGTTCCAGTCATCTAGTTTATTTTCTGTGGTTTGTGTATTTTTAGTTATGTTTGATAGTCTGTTTATAAACAACATGTATCTTTGTTTGCCTGCCTTGTATATTTGTCACATCCTCTTGAGTCATTTTCATCCATCTTCATTCCTTCTTGATTTAAAAAAAGCCTCCTTTTAATCTCTGTTTCTCTTAAGGTATTACCTGTTGTGTTTATTTACACTTGTGTCCTTCTGCTTAGACTACATTTCTGAAATGATTATTTCTTATATTTCTAATTCTTTTCTAAGTTTTATCATTTCTGAGTTGTTCTGATACTGATTTATGATATTCTTCCATATCATGTAACTTCTTCTTAATGTACTTAACTAGTTTTGAAGTATTATAGTGTTCATCTGTTTTTTGTGGACATATCTTTCTGGTGTGTTTTTATTCTGTAAAGATATTATTCTGTTGCTCATTTTTACATAAAATTAGTCTCCCTGGACTTCTAGAAGGAGACTTAATTTAGGATAGTTTTTCTCCCCTAATTTCATGGCTAGAGAGTTCCATCTTCTCTTGTTTTTGAGAATTGTTCAAAAGTATGGTAAATTACTTACTGAAATCTCCTGGCCCTGTCCGTCTCTACTTTTATCTGGACTTCTGTTTTTTGTCTCTCTCATCCCTGTTCTGCTCAATTTAGAGTCTATTCCCACTGGTTTCTCCTCTGAGCAGGGCTTTGATCTGGAAGGAAGCTTTAGCTAATTAGTTTTGAGAGTTCATGGGGCCCAGGCTGCTCCCAGACTGTATCATGGACCCCTTCGCTCAATCACTATTTGAAGGTGCAAGCTACTCCTACTTTCAGTTATTGTTCATAAATTAGCTTGCTGAGGTTTGAATGAGTTATTTCAGAGTTCTCAGGTCTGTCAGATGCCCTGTTGGTTCCCTCTGCATGTTTTTCCACAGCTGATACCATGTTGGTCTTGTAATTATCTGTGGTTTGTCCTCACCCACACATATTTAGGGCTCATGGGGGAATCCTTTTCATCTGGTTTTGATGTAGATTATGTCCTCCGATTTTGGTTTTGCTTTCCTACTTGCCCTACTTGCCTTTCTTACTTGTTTTTTGTTATAGTAGTATTTGGGGAGATTCAAAAACTATGCTGCCACCACACCTTCCTTCCAGAATTTCTCTCTTATAATAGGGCATCTGCAAACTGTATCCTGTGGACCAATCCTGTCTGCCACTTGTTTTTGTACAGCCTGTGAGCTAAGAATGGTTTTTACATTTTTGTATAGTTGAGAAAATCAAAAGAAAAATACTATTTCGTGGCCCATGAAAATTATATGGAAATCAAATTTCAGTGTCTAAAGTTTTATTGGAACACAGCCACACTAAGTTATTTATGTATTTTCTATGGCTGCTTTCATGCTACAACACCAGAGTTGTTGGGACAGAGACCATATGCTTCTCAAAGTTGAAAATATTTATTATCTGACCATTTACAGAAAATGTTTGCTGAACCCTATCCTATAATATAGGAGCACTGATAGCACAACGATTAAGCATTTGGCCGCTAACTGAAAGATTGGCAGTTCAAACCCACCAGTGGCTCCGTGGGAGAAAAGACCTGGTGATCATCTGCTCCCATAAAGATTACAGCCTGGGAAACCGTATGGGGCAGTTCTACTCTGTCACATGGGGTCACTCTGAGTCGAAAATTGACTCAATAGCAGCTAACAACAACAATCCTATAATATACTTTTTTAAAATGGCTGAATAGTATTCTGTTGTGTGAATGTATCATAATGTACTTAACTAAGTCCCTATTGTTGAGCATTTAGGTGATTTCTAAATTTCATTATTATAGGCATCATTTCACAGCTACGTGCTCAGGTACATATTTAATTACCTTCTTGAGACAAAATGTTACAAGTAAGATTACTGGATCAAAGGGAGGTATATACATTTTAAACTCTGATAGATATTGACAAATTGTCATCCAGAAAGATTGTATAGGTTAAATATCCATTAAGGATACTGGGAAGGAGCCTGGGTGGCACAGGTTGTTTGCAGTGGGCTGATAACCAAAAAGTTGGTGGTTCGAAACCATCCAGGGGCTCCGTTGAAGTAAAGGCCTGGAGATCTGCTCCCGTAAAGAATACAGCCAAGAAAACCCTATGGAGCAGTTCTACTCTATAAAACATGGGGTCACCATGAGTCTGGGGCCGACTCAGTGGCAGCTAACAACAATAACAACAAAAGGATACTGATTAAATGAATTATGGTACATTCATGCAATGGAATATGGCAGAGATTAAAGGCATTGAGGTAAGTCTATTTTTACTGATGTGTAAAAACATATAACATATGCTGTTACGTTAAAAACCTAAGTTACATATATAGAGTATGATTCCTTTGTATTAAGGAAATGTGGGATTAGAATACATACACTTACATTTTTCACCAGGAGCATAGATTACAACCATGTTATACCAGTTTATATACCTACCAGCAGTATGTAGAAATGGTTATTTTGCCATACTTTTGCCCACATAGTGTTATCTATTTTTTCTAATTCTTGCCGATTTGATAGTTAAGAAAAAAAGTGTTGTATTTTAATTTTACATGTCAGGTTTTATATTTTTTCATACATTTATTGGCTTGAATTAATTTTTTTGAAATTCTTGTTCATTGTCCATTTTTTCCCTGCAATATTTGTGTTTTTCTTGGTGACTTATAAGAGCTCTTTATATATCAAATATTTACCCTCTAGCTTGTTATGTATGTTTGCCTTTGTATTATATTTAGGGTAATTAATGATGTATGAAAAATTTTTTCTTTTTTATGCAGTCAAATCTTCCTTTATTTTTTATGTGTTGAAAGCCCTTTTCTACTTCAAATTTGCATAATTGTTCTCCTATATATTTTTCTAGTATTTATTTGATTTTTTTTTACAGTTGAGTCTTTAATCCATCAAGAATTTGTGTAGGCTGTGAGGTAGGGTTAACTTTTGTTTTTCAAATGCTTAGCCAGTTGTTTCAGTGCTATTTATTGAAGAAATAAGCCATTATTTTAAGGTTATATACTTTCTTCATATTGTTTTATTAGGAATCTGTACATTGCACATTTTAAAAATCAGGATTATTGAGGTATAATTTACATACAATAAAATTCACCCTTTTAGAGTGTACAGTTCGGAAGAGTTTTGGCAAATGTATGCAACTGTGTAACCAACTACCCCAATTAAATTTGAGTGTTAAGAAAATAAAGGCGAAGATTAATGTCTGAGTGAAACAGTTGAAGCAAGAACTTCCTTCTTCAAAAGATTTTGTTTCCAATTTTGGAAAGGTCCAAATTTGTTTATCTCTTGAGACAGTCATTTAACCTCATATAACACTCCCGTGCTTTTTTCCCCTTTAATGTTAATTCCTGATTGTTTTGTTTCATTAACTGTTCAAATGGATAAAGATTCTTAGGTTTAAAAAAATGCAGGAAAATGTACACTTATTGCTGCATGCACGTAGGCCTAAAAATAAGCATTGGTCGTGAGTACTCAGGGAAAAAAATACACTGTTTAGAGAAGTCATTGTGTATGTGTTTTTTTGTTTCCTTCCTTCTAGCACTGGAAGAAGTATGACATCTATGAAAAGCAAACTAAAGAAGAAACTGACTCTGTAGTGCTGATAGAAAACCTGAAGTGAAGCTCTCAGTAATGGGGATAATTTATTTTTACCTTCAATGTGATCTTGTGAAGATTTGTTATCTGGGAACTTGCTATATGGAAACTGAAACTACTAGACCATTTAAAAACAGGCAGCTCGTAAGAGCCACAGGTCTTCATATTGAATCGTGCACCAGAAAAACTAAGAAATAGTGGGCCCTTTGGAGAAGAGAGTGGAGTCATCCTCATTGAATTATAAAAGTAGACATCCTTTGCAAAGGCTTCAAACCAGGGGATAAAGCAAAAAGTGATGATGACAGTAGGGTTATTATCAAGAGTTGTAACAAATTTCTAAGGAATCTATACCTGCTTTGTATTCTTTGTGGTCAAACAGCACCAACAGGTTTTATTTGTTTGGGGAACTCATTTTAGGTGGCAAATGCTAATGCCAATCTTGTAAACAAAATTGATAAAATCTGTTATTTGAGATCCGATTGAGTAACGTTTGTGGCCATTAGACTTCTTAACAGTCCAGAATTATCATCCCCTTAAGCAGTATTTTCCCCTGCTTCCACAGCCCCAGAAATTAGTGTTGGTCATGATGATGACAGGTACAGAAAAAGCAGAGGCAGCCTCTTCGACAAGACCTTTCAAAGCCATTGCAGACCTTTGACAGCATTGGAGGCAGAATGACCCGTTGGGTATTAGGCATTGAACCATGCAGTCTCTAATGATATATTATTTTTCTTTACCTCAGCTACTCAAGTATTTACTGTGTCCCTGGCTTGTGCTAGACCCCCAGATTTGAGGCACAAACCCCCTTAAAATCTAGTTGGGAATCCTCAGTGCATACCCCCTTCTTTACCTCCACCAGTCGTTTTTAAGACCTTCCAGCTCCACGATTTGATTTCCCCTTTTGCATTCTCCCTCATTCCCCTTCATTCTAGCCTACCCTTCACCTTTCATTGGAAATTTAGATATAAATCTGCTCAGAACACCTAGAGGGGCGGAGTAACTTGCATCTTAGGTAAAGTTTGAGTAGACTGAGAAACAATGACTAACTCATGCATATTTTGTAACTTCTGTGTGAGTCCACATTTGTTTGAGAGTTTTCAGCATTTACTGTTTCTTTACATGGTTTCTGAACAGGAATGAGGTATTATCTTCACTTAGAACTTTGCTATTTGCTCCAGAAAAAAAGAATAGTATCTTTTTCTCTTCCAAGATGGGCCCTGGGATTGATTCCTCTTTTCCCTTACTGCCACAAGTGGTTATTATTAGTAGGTTTCCTGTCTTGTGTTGATAGCCAGCCATCCTAGGTGCCAGAGTTTGTACTCATTTTTTGTATATGTTAGGGTTCCATGCTCACCCATCCCCACAACGTTGCCATATATATTTCCTCTCCTCCTCCTAATTCCTCCAAATTTAAAGAAGTATGGAAAGTGAGAGGTTCCCCCACCTACCCAGTGTTTCTGTTCTCACACACACAGACTCAGTTTACTGATAAGAACTTGAGCACTTTATATCACAAGTTCTTGCAATGTTTACCCATTTGTATTAATAAGATGATGCTACTTGCAACTCCTACCCTTTGGGGAGGGGAGATCAGCGATCCCTGAACCTCACAGGTTTAGGTACAAGTGGCCACATGCTTCCACCGCAGTGGAGGAGCACTGTGCCCTGACTTTTCTGAGGAAATTGGGGTTCGTGGCAATGGTAGATGTTATTTCCTCCCTGTGCCTTTATTTTTGAGGTCAGATTGAGGCTGGGAGACAGGCACAGTGGATGTTCCACTTTGTTCTTTTGTTGTTTAGAAGGAGTAGTTGGTTTTCCTCTGTAGGGATGAGATTCTTTCCTAGCCAGATTTTTTATTCTGGGAGACAAAACACCTGAATGCCTCACCCAAAGCCGTTTTTACTGTTATTCTGTGTAGTTGGCAGTAGAGGGGTAGGGATGCTTTGAAATTCTGATTACCCAGGGAACTACAGATGCTGACTGTCATAAAGCTGGGAGTGGGGACAATGTATTTTGGTTCCATCTCTTATAGCAGTGAAATAGCTGAGGGAAGAGGGGAGGGTGAATTATGGGAGTCCCAATGGCTATTTTACAGTTGCTGAAAAGTGACCCCCAAGTCTTGGGAGTTCTTGGAGACATCATCACATCAGTGGGATTCTCATCACCGCTGGGAAACTACTAGGTTCGTTTACTATTTTATGTCAAACCTGTATGGATTTTTTTTTCCACATACCTAAGTAAACCCACTGTACAGATTGTCATTCATATTCTTTCATTCAGATAAGTTTTTCTTCATCTGGGCACTGAAGGGATACATGAAACAATGTTAACCTTTTTGGTAATGTCTTCAACTAGGGATCATTTTGTTTAACTTCTTATATGAAAGTTCGAGTAAAATAAATATGGAATGTCTTTTTGTATGTCACCCTAATGTTTTTCTTTGGTCTTATTTTGGGTGAAGTGTTTTGTTGTGTGAAGTGGGTGGCAGAGAAAATTGGAGTTGAAAGCATAAACAAAACAAATTCCAAGGGAGCTATTTTATCTTGTACAGACTCATTTATTGTAAACTTCCCTGCTGTTTTGGATTTGTCTGTGTTTTCTATAAGAGCGTGCACTTAGTTTAATAGTAGTACAGCTTTTGCTGAAAGCACCTAAAGAGACAGAAGTATTTGATAAATTGTGGTTATAATAATTAAGGGAAATGGAGAACCGGTCCTTTCTAATTTTAAGCTTAAAATAGAGTACAGTGTACTTAAGGAGACTCATGGTATACGTGATGAGAACCTCTGATTGAAGTTAATAATACCAGCACATTAGTTTTGAGACTAAGAAAATCAGTGTTCAATAGCTGCCCTCTTAAGAATTGGTTATATATAAAAAAAGAATTGGTTATATGCTTTCATATTTTCTATAAATACAGCAAAATGGTTTGAATGTCACAGAGGGTTTCTCATTTGTGTTAAGCGTGTGTCTTTAGCCAGACCACATTTGTTAATTACCCTGAATCGTTACAGGATCCAAACCCTAGGGTGAGGGTGGGGACGCTGATTTTGGCTAGGTTATTTCTATAACTATCTAGAAGTATCTAGGAAGACTGGAAATCCATCTCCAGGTAAGTACAGTATTTTCTATAAGAACCCTCCTTTTGATTCTTAACAGATCAACTCTGAGTAGTATGACAGAAAACATTAACTGAGGACTCTTGAGATTGTATATCTGTATGTTTGTGTGAGATCTACAGAAATCAAATTCCTGTAGCCACAAACATGTTCAACTCATCCCGGGGGGAGAGAAATCAGAATGATCTAAACACATTTGTTTTCCAGAGTCATTGACCATTTTGTTGTTTCCATGAACTCCTACTTTTGCAAATTCAACTTTATACTCACATTAATAGAATATTTTGCTACTAGAATATTAGCAGTTTTAGAAGAAAACAAGGGAACATGAACATTTCTTTCAGAGACTGTTTTCTTTTAAACACTAGTGATTAGGTCAAGCAATCAAATTTCTTGCAAATATTGTAACTAAATCTTGGTATGTTTTTACTGTTAAGCAGGGGAGGAATTTTACTGACTTTTGGATGTACTAGATGTTTCTGACATCAGTCCCCTTGATGATTTGTTCCTGAAGGTTCTTTGGCCCTTAACTGTCTTTCATAATGGTCACGTTTTAAGTTTACCATTGACAACAGGAAAATATTTTGCTATTAGTTTTCAGCACTTATTAGGTAGACTGGTGTATAAAAAGAGAAAATTATAGTTATGTAGTAGCTAGTATATGCCAAGTCACATGTGTCATTTTACTAAGTCTCCATGTCAGTCCTCTGAGACAGGTTGCATTATTGTTATTACAGATGAAGAAACTAAGACATAAAATAATTGAATTATGAGTCTAAGATCATACAGCTAGTAAGTGACTGAGACAGAATGACCTTGGAAAACAGGTCAGTCTGACTTTAAAGCCTGTGTAATATAGCCGGGAATGTATTTATTTGTCCTAAGGAGGCAGCTGGAGCCCTGGTGGCACAGTGATTAAGAGCTCGGCTGCTAACCAAAAGGTGGACAGTTTGAATCCACCAGCCGCTTTTTGGAAACTCCCTGGCACAGTTCTACTCTGTCCTGTAGGGTCACTATGAGTTGGAATCTACTCGACAGCAACGGGTTTTGTTTGATTTTGGTTTAAGGAGGCAGCTACCTTAAGAAGAAACATCTTATTTCACATTGCAAAATTGTTTACCAGCTGGAAGGCTGTTTAAACATTTAAATCATTTAATTGCAAACTGAGTTTTTTATGGTGTCTTAGGATTCATTTGCACACTCATTCATCTGTGTACCTACCAGGCAGTGTGCTAGGTTCTAGGGATCTAGAAAAGAATAAGATTTGGCTTAGTGTCAGGTGAGTCATCAAGGGGAAGCTCCTTAGTTCCAAGTGACCTTGGGCAGATCTGTCTCCTGTCTCAGCCTACTTCCCATCTGAGAAATGAAGATATTAGATTTAGCAATTTATAGTCCCATCCATGACTTATAACATTGGCAATAACCTGGGGAGTTCATTTGGAAGTGAGAATCTTTGCTACAAACACCAGTTCTATGACCTCGGGCAGGCTCCTTGCTTTCTCTGGCCATCGGTGTTCTCATCTGTAAAATGAGGAGGTGGGACTAGATTAGCTCTATTAACTATGACGTCCAATCAAGGTCAAGATGATGACTTCTGTTTTATAAATGAAAAAAATATGGTAACCTCCTACTCCTGATACAAGAAGTAGCTAACTATTAGCAGTGACTGCCAGAAATAACCAGATGAGCAGGCCATTTAATACAATGATAAGAATGAAGGAGTTGATTCATTGCATGAGCCCTGTGTTGTTGTTGTTAGGTGCCATCAAGTCAGTTCCAACTCATAGACACCCTATGCAAAAGAGAACAAAACACTGCCCGGTCCTATGCCATCCACGTAATTGTTGGCAATGCTTGAGCCCATTTGTTGCAGCCACTGTGTCAGTCCATCTCGTTGAGGGTCTTCCTCTTTTTTGCTGAGCCTCCATTTTACCAAGCGTGATGTCCTTCTCCAGGGACCAATCCCTGTGAGCCCTGTGGTCCACCAAAATCACGATATTCTGAAGGGCCCAGCAATGGTTGTACCTAACAAATATTTCTTATCATACTTTGCAGATCTTAGGTCATTTTGCCTAGAAACCAAAGATGGTCTATGTATACCGTCATGGATTGAATTGTGTCCCCCCAAAATATGTTTCAACTTGACTAGGCCATGATTCCCAGTATTGTATAATTGTCCACCATTTTGTCATCTGTGTGTTGTACATCCTTCCTCTATGATGTTAATGAGGCAAGATTAGAGACAGTTATGTTAATGAGGCAGGACTCAATCTGCAAGGTTGGATTGTGTCTTAAGTGAATCTCTTTTGAGATATAAAAGAGAGAAGCGAGCAGAGAGACTGGGGGACCTCATACCACCAAGAAAGCAACTCCAGGAGCAGAGCGTGTCCTTTGGACTCGAGGTTCCTGCGCTGAGAAGCTCCTAGACCAGGAGAAAATTGATGACGAGGACCTTCCTCCAGAGCCAACAGAGAGAGAAAGCCTTCCCCTGGAGCTGACGCCCTGAATTCGAACTTCTAGCCTACTAAACTGTGAGAGAATAAATTTCACTTTGTTAAAGCCATCCACTTGTGGTATTTCTGTTATAGCAGCACTAGATAACTAAGACATATACTATAGATTGCATAATGATTACATTTGATACATTACCTAAAATAGAGTCCACTTGAATTCAGTACTTGCAAATTTGGTCATTGAATTTAACTTTTTGATTTGATCAAAATAATGAACATAATTTAAAAAGGGTGCTACAAGGTTTATAATAAAACACAGCAATCCCCTGCCCAACCCCTCCTTACTCCTGATTCCTGCAGCAAGAGGTGTAGTTGGCAGAATGGCCCCCAAAGATATCTATGCCTTAATCCCTGGAACCTGTGAATATGTTACTTTACATGGCAAAGGGGATTTTGCAGATGTTATTAAAGTTGTTAGGTACCGTTGAGTTGATTCTGACTCCTAGCGACCCTAGGTACAACAAAACGAAATGATTGTTAGGGACCTTAAAACAGGGAGATTATGCTGGATTTTCTAGGCCCAATCTAATCATTTGAGCCCTTAAGAGCAGAGAAATTTCTCAGGCTGGAAGCAGAAGAGAAAGTCAAAAAAATTCAAAGCACAGAAAGGACTCAGAATGCCATTGCTGGCTTGAGGATGGAGGTGGCAATGTAGAAAGTATGAGAAGAAACGATACTGCCAACAACATGAATGAGCCTGGAAGCAGGTTGTCCCCCAGAGCCTCCAGATAAGAGCCAACGCTGACGACACCTTGATTTTGGCCTGAGCAGAGAATTCAGCAATGGCATGCCAACTTCTCTGCTACAGATACTGTGAGATAATAAATTTGTGTTGTTTTAAGCCACTAGGTTTGTGGTAACTTGTTATATCAGCAATAGAAAACAAGTACCCAGAGGCAACTTCTCTTAACATTTTTAGCTTTTGTTATTTAACTAACTATTATGAATATATAACACTCTAATACTTAATGCTGTTTCTTAATTCTATTTAGGTTTAGAAATTACTTATAAATTTCTGCTATGGAAGATGAGGAATTTACTTTCTCATATAGCCCCCTCCTGACACATACACGCAACACACACTCACACTACCCTTCCACAAATATAAAACATTTTGGTTAAAATGTTCAATATTTGTGTTTTATCTATGTAAATGTTGCTCACAGTTGATCCCAGTAGAGTACCATTAATTATATTTCCTTTATTTTCTTTTTCCCAAAGTTGCATGTTTTTTTTTGTTTTGATTAGTACTGTGTAACCAGTCATGAGTTCAGCCCCAAACTTTCTGACAGAACCATAAAACTCCATTTAATGTGGTCAAACACATAAGGTAATCTGTGAGTTCAATTATTTATCCCTTGGAGACAACTCTCCTGGAGTTTGCTACCGTCCTGATCCATTCTGGAATGGTTGCTTTCTAGGCCCACCACCCAGCTGTCATCCTGGGAATTCCCTTTGCCTCTTCTGTGTTAGATTCTATTTCTCTGATCCCAGGTTATCCTCTTTCTTGGTTTTTGCCCAAGTTTTGCAGGACCACATCCTGCACTGACTTCCTTAGAAGGATTGCATGAGAGGTAATTTTTTAAAAAAATCCTTCTGTCTGAATGTATCTTCACACATGATTAAAATCTTACACGATTAAAATTTTCACTAGGTGAATTCCTAGTTAGAAACAATTTCCTCTCAGAATTTAAAAAGCATTATTCCAATGTGTTCTTGCTTCTAGTGTTGCTTTTCCATATTGAAGGTTTTTTCCTCGCCATTTGTCAGGAAAAAAAAAAAAAAACACAGTT